ACATCTTCAAGCGGCCAAGGTTGAGAAACGCTAATTTACGGTATGTACCACTTCACGATTATCATAGTAACGGAATTTGATTTTGTTTGAATGTAAATGACCTCTTCAGATTTTTTTTTTAACCCATGTCTACCCCAAACTTTTAAGGGTGAGGCTTCTCAGAGGTGAAGTGTAGCCTTCAGCTCAAGACAAGTTACACATCCTGGAGTGGTGGGAACAATTTTGCACTTCCAAAAGACCCCCCCCCACCTCAATTTCAAGGAGCAAAAGAGCCGATGCCCTCTCCCATTCCCACAAGTGGAGCCACTGGAGCAGCCATTTACAGAAACTGGAATTTGAAATTTGCCACAACCCTCATTACAAGTTCTCCTTTCTGCAAACCCCCAGTGACCGTGCCGGGCTTGGAAAGCAATGACTTTGCCCTCTTCCTCACTATTAATTTATATTATGTTACAGTATCCTCATTGCGTGTGGATACGTTTTTCTATTTTTCTTAAAACCTGATTCATTGACACAATAGGCAAATCTTGGTTAGAATTAATCTTGGTTTGGTAGTTTTGTGTGAACCTGGTTGGTTCAGTTAGTTTATAATTCACAGTACTGTAGCACAGCGGAATCTCTAAGACGAACGGTTGGTCATCGCAACTCTCTATTCCCAGAAATCCTCTGGATTTTTACACTGGCCCCATTTCCTGCTCAGCAGTTATGCCGTCACAACCTGACTTCCAGGGGATGGTGTTCTCTGGCACTGACATATGATATATGAGGACATACCCAAGCCGCACACCTTACTGGTAGGTAAAATAAGCTGATAAATAAAATCACCTCCTGACACTGATGAGGAGTGGGAAATCAGCCCCCTCTTACTTGGGAAATAAATCAATCTCACAAGGTATAAACAAAATTATTTAAAAAAAATGAAAACAAGGTTTAAAAAAAAACCTTTTTAACTTTGAGGAGTTACATGCAGAACAGTGGTGGAGGAGGTCATTATCCAAGTCATAGGAAAAATATACATCTTATGCAAGAGTTAGACCATTTGTGGGAAGTAAATACTCTTGCTCTGTTCACATGACTGAGTTCTGGTAGCCGCTTCTCATATCATGCGGACACCTCCAGGCCGGTTAATGGACTACAACTAACTTAGACTAATTTTGCTCCCCAAACATTCCAGGGTTGTTGGAGGGTAAACTTAGTCAACCATATCCTGTGAACTACCTACTGGCAGAAGGAGCAGAAACTGCCCTTCTTGCTTCTAAGGCTAAGATATGATCCCATGGAAATGAAGTTGCAAAAGATACTGACGTTCACACAAGATGAACAAAGTCTTCTAGCTAGAGGAGAATCAAACAAGAATTTAGCAGTAAACATGGCATTTGATCTAGAATCATTGTTTGAGATGCCATTCATTTCCAAATGAATTCAGAAACAGATGCCAGTGTTACTCCAGAACCTTGCCCCACAAACTGCTGTACCCACCCTACAAAGGCCAGAAGATACACCCTGTGCTATCTTGGATGTTTAGCTACAACCAAACTTCAAGGTGGACCCGTTTGTGGTCCTGGAGCAGCTGCAGGAGAAACAGGCAAAGTGCTGGCAAACTCTAGTCTATTTCTGTAAGGCTGATAATTTCAAAATCAGAAACCCCTGTTGCCTGGCACTTAAGAGAAAAAATGGATCTAAACCTGGCATCGAAACTCATTTAGAAAAAAAAGGGAATGTTTCCCTCTGCCCCAGATACTAATGGATTCAATAACCACAAATCCCTGGTGCTTTCTTGGGGTCATTGAGCACTACAAAGAGATGGTGGTTGGCTAGGTCCATGCCTCTTGCTGATCATGGTCAGCTGAACCATAGTTTACTGAATTCACCCAATTCCTACCCCAATTGGCGGCAACCTAGTTTGTTACCCCAAAGATTAGCATGGCAGCCTGCCTCAGCTGATAACGCAGGGCACCTCCACCCTGGTGAATGGAGACGAGATGCTGCTTCTCTGTGACCGCAAACAAGTCTTGTCTGAAGATGCTGTCCATAACAGATGAGTCAAGGATGATGAGCCGAGGAGGGGAGAAAGAGCGTTGGCAATGGAGGGAGGGGGGAAATGCATCCCCAGTGACCCTGCTTCTCGAGTTGCACCTTCATTAGTTTTCCGTGGAGGTGAATTCCTCCAGCCTCTGCAGTTTGTTGAAGGAGAAAAGTTTTGCAGTGAGCAATGAGGTCATACAATCTGCTGACCTAATTACTTTGTGCAGAAGAAAATGAAATGAATTGCGTGAGTCACCAAAGGAATAGGAGTGAGACTTGGGGGGGAGGGGCAGGGGTAGAGACTGTCAAGCAATTGTAGAATGATTCGGTGCTTCATCCTGTTTTTATTTAATGCAGTCATTAAATTTAAATACATTTGCATATGACAAATTATAACATTCAGAAGTTCTAGGTGACACCCCTGACAAAGCAAAACTCGTTAGAAGGCAAGACCATATTCCATGGACCTCACCAGGAAAGTAACTTTGTTCAGTCAATTCAGTGGCTTCCAAGACCCAAATTCAGGTGTTCAATAAAATAACAAACCAGGCTGTTGCAATTTGTGGAAGGCAAACTGGATGCGGTCAGGAGCTGAGGGCCTTGCTATAGCCCCAAAGCATGTTGGTGAATTTGTTTGCAGTTGGGGGCAAAATGTTTGGTCCATGAAACGCTTTCCAAAAATTGAGGGGTGGGGGGAACCAGAGTAAGCATTTCAATCTGTGGTCTCTAGAGGAAGTAAAGTGCAGCCTTTGACCTCCAAAGGTTCTCTCTGGTGGATTACAGCAATTCTGCAATGAAAAGCTCAAAAGGAAAGTTGACGCCCTTCCCACCGCCCATTACTGAAAATATAAAACCCAGCTGTTGCAACAAAAAGCCATTTCTATTCCTGGAATAAAATGTGTGAACTTTTTGGCAGGTGGAATACAATACTGGTGATAACTAGATAGTTTTTATGTTAACAAAGCTGGAGATAATTTTAGAAAATGTCCCAGTTTCAATACTTTTTTGTGACGATGAGTGGGTCTAATAAGATCACTTCAAGGAGAATTTCCTCTCGTAGCTGCCATGGTTAGTATTTTCTGCTTCCGTTCCCTACAATAAACCACACCAGGAGCAAAATAGCTCCCCACCCAGTCTTGGCATTGCCTTGTAGCTTAAACTGCCAACTGATGCTTGGATCACAGGACGAGGAAATTGGCTGCACCCAACTCCCAAGAAGAGCCCAGGCTGGCTGACGCGTGAGTCTTCTTCCAGTCCAGCTCAACTTCACAGACACTTCCATGCAGCCTTCTTGGCATAACATGCTAGTGGCTTATCATCCCCTTCTGAGATGTTCCATCGATTTCCCTCTCTAGCTTCCAGCTCAGGGCTTCATGGATGGTCTCAGAGCCAACCCTGCTTTGCTTTCTAGATCAGCCAAGGCCCTCTAGGTGCTGCTGCCTGGCTGGATGCTGGGAACTGCAGGTCAGTTAACAGCCAGAGGAGCAACCAAGGGCTCTCCATTCTCAAGGCCTGAAGTCAGTAAAGTTAAAATGGCTCTACACTATTTTGAAGGGCCATCAAATCTGCTTCAAGCGAAATGATGGTGAGGTGAAGGAGTACACATACAGTCCACTTGCAAGACTTCTTCTTCCTCAGCCTTTCAGCCCTCTGGATGGAGTCCTACCTTGTGAATTCATCTTTCTGTTGGATTTTTTTTTTTCATTTTAAAAGTTAACCAAATACAGGCAGGATTGGGGAGCGAGAGAGCATTTCTCTGAAGGCAAAAAACTTGACCCCCAACAGTGGCAGAAAAGATGGATCCCCAATTACAGAGCCAAGAAAACTTGAGCTGAGGTCCCTGGATATGTCTGAGGTCTAGATGTTTAGGTGTCAATCCGAATGGTGCCATATGAGTTGTGTCTCTTGCTGTCTTCCCTTCCTTCACAAAGCCAAGAAGGCTCCAAGCAGGAACTATTTTAGTTTAGCATCTAAAGCCAGAAGCCCCTGAAATGCAGCCAGGTAGCAGAGGGACCTGGAGGTAGGTGCATCAAATCATTAACTAGGAATTAACCAGGAAGCACGTCCCTTTTTTAAGCAAACGTACATCCCCAAGAAAGAACGACAACGCAAGCAAGAGTGGGCATCTTCTGAGGCCCAACGCTCATCCTCTTAGCGTAGGTCGTCCTGGCTAAACCCTGCCCCTTCCCCTGCAGAGGGGAGGCTGTGGGTCTGTTCTACAATCCTCCACCTCTGAGCAAGCCTATTTGGGCAGCCAAACGAGGCATCTATGCAAAGAGCTGCCCCATCTGATACTGTGTCCCACCCTCACCTGCCGACCTTCAGGTTCAGTGTATAGCATACAATATCAGTAAACTAGGACATAAATGCAGCCTGTAACTTAATCTCAACTTTTCTTTATGGAGGCAAGGAGAACAGAGAAATGGGACTGGCTGTTTAATTCATCGCACTCTCTTGGCACGGGCGCCTCAAACACCACAGGGCATCTCATCCATCCATCTCCCCAAAGGGTGGGGGAAGCACGAGCCCGTTCCATATTGGGTGGACGACTTGCGTCAGGCTTGCCCGACTTCATAAATCAGCCATTTCAATACTCTGACCATTTCAAATGACGTCCAATGTTTTCATTAGCTCATGATTTATCACCAGAAGGTACTCTTTTATTTTATGCCCGATTTATAAACTTTTTACTCTCCCCACCCCTCCATTTGCTATCATGTTCACTTTGTCCACCAGGCAATGAGACAGTAAATTTATTGTCTATGAAGCGACTTTGAAGGATGACATCAATGCCCAAACGTGTTTGTGTTTCTTGTCAATGGACAATAAGTTCATTGGAGAATTCTCGCTGGGCGGGGACCATGGCCGTGATGAGGTCACAGGTGGGCTGCAGCATATAAGCACAAGATGGGGAAACCTCTTGAGATACCCCAGCAGCCAGCAGGGAATTCCACGCCAAGGCAGTCGTGGGTAGAAACGATGGACAAGCTGGGCTGGTTCTGCCTCTCTCTCTTCAGCCTCTCGGGGCAGTTATGGGCAGCTCCCAGGGCCAGCTCCAGTGAGGAAGTCTCTGCTTGGCCCCCAGGTAAGAAGAGAGTTTTCTCTTGATTCATCCAGCAGTTAATAACCTAACATCGTAGTGGAAAATTGTAGAAAATTAGTGGAAGTGGAAAATTAGTGGAAAATTACTTGCCCGTGCTTTTGATGCGAGATGAATCAGTTACATCTGGAAAGCCAAAGGATGTTCTTCTGCAAGCCGGCAAAATCACCAGAAGCCGGAAAGATGGGTGGAGGGACCTGCGTGAGTCTCTTATGAAAATCTGGTTGCAGAGGCAAATTGGCTGCAAATTGTTAGCTATTGGGCTGTTGTTAAGAACCTGAGGATCTGAGGGTTTGGGGCTGAGTATCCTGAGTGATCTACCTTGAGGAGATAAGCGATTTAGGAGACAGTGATGATGCTAGAACATAGATTTGGCTTGACAAATTAAGCTTGTAATGTTTCCTTTCTAATGAAAAGAACTCCCTCAGGAGGAGTAAATTTGTAATTGCAGCTAAAAACATGGCTTTCTTTCTTAAACAGAGATAATGATATTACTAAGCAAAATGTGGAGCCTAACATGGTGGCTATCCATGGTTGCTTTGCTTTTTTGCAGGCTTCAAATAAAATGTCATCAATGGGTATTTGTCAAATGCTTCTAACCATTGTGTTTTCTCAATGAAATGTTAAGATAACAATGCCATTATGTGTCAGTCACAGAACAGACTCTTTAGTATTACAAGCAGCATTCATCTAACCTGCTTTTGAAGCTCAAACTAATTTTTGAGGAACTGAGGACCACCTCAATTAACAGATTAAGCAAAAAAAAAAAACCCTTTTCCAGGGTGATGAGTGCTGCCTACAACAAGTAGCAGCCCAGATGGTGCTGGTGTGTCCTAGTGTCTACACACACACACACACACACACACACACACACACACAGAGCTTACATTCGAGATTCCTTGGCAGAGATGAGGGCAGCAATGCTAGATTGGACAGGAAAGGAAGGGTTTTCCGACGACAGAAAAGTTGAAGGCCACCAAAGCTAAAGAATGAAAATCACTGCACAACAGTGTTCCAATATAGAAAAATACGAAGAGCAACATGTCCAATCATCAACCCCAATTATCACTGATGTCAACTATAATCAATATTTGGGTTTAGCTGAATGGTTGAAATGAATGAGACATCACCATTTGCAAAGCAAACAGAATCTCTTTGCACTGCCCACCCAAAAATATGAAAATGATACACCCTGCTGGGTGCATTTATTCATTTACTTGTGAGAAACACTATTATTATTGCAGGCTCGGGAATGTTCCTTTGAACAGAGTGAAGTGGGATTATTTTTACAGTACATTTAACTATGTGAAAGTGGTAGGAAACCATCTGTGACTAGGTGTACCCTCATTAGCTGTAGGATTGGGCAGGGTTCAAGACTAAATGCCCAAGCTACAAAGCGAAAGGCCCTCATTTGCACCCAATGAAGGTAACTGAGGGAGCCCACTGGAAGCCTGCAACGATTCCTAGTCTTGTCCCTTGAAAAAGAGGAGGTAGGTTTCAACCTACTTTTGGGGCACTGCGAGGTTGATCCTACGTTACAGGATCCGAAAAGGGACTGGAACGAAGGGGAAACAAAACTCATCTGAAATATGGTAAAAAGGGAAGGTGGTACTCACAGTGTAAGAGAAAGAAGGAAAGGCCACCTCTCCCTTTTATTTTCATTAAAATGGAACTCAAGTCTTCTGCAAGTGCCAAGATAATTTGTCACCTAACATGTAATTCTGTTATGGAACTGACAATCAAAGTTGTGGCCAAGATTCTGCAAACTTCCTTTTGAAGGCAGATTTAGAGAAAGCATTTCTTCTGATTAGCAAGAGTGGGGCATCAACCAGGAGTGGGGTCCTAGACAGGTGGCAGAGGAAAACGGTTGAGGGCCAAAGGAATGAGTCCAAAGGAATAAGGCTGTTCTTCATTCTCAAGGATTTCAGAGAGAGATGTGGGGAGATGGACACCTCTCCAAAGTGCACTTGCTTCTTCCTCATCTTATTCTCAATCTCTAGCAGACAACGAAGATGCCAGGCTAAATCTGGAGGCTTTGACTAGCATAAGACCCTTTCAGCAAGCCTTAGCCAGGATACTAGGAGCACAGACCGAGGACAAACGAAGCAAAGCAGGTAAGACAGAACCCCCCCTGCGTATTTTACTCTTTCACAGCTCTTGAATAGTGGTGCCATCTCCCCCACAAACCCCACCTGCCTTTTTCATGCCTAACATTATTATTTTCAATTCCTTTCCCAAGGATTTCCAACACAGAATTCACATTTTGCACAGTGGCGCCTGTGACCAAGCAAGTGCATTGGCAGAACATGCTCAGATTGGTTAATTTCAACTTGAGCAAGCTTCTTTGGCATTCAATATGTTGCATGGATCCAGCCCATTTGGTAAATTCAGTTTATTTTGCAAAGCCAGAAAACAGACTGCATGCATAGTGTGAACTCAGATGCTGGACCAACATTTTATGCTCACCACTATAGCTCAAAATGGGGAGTAGTGGCCATAAAAGCTCCAACTGGATTTTTACTCTTAATATGACTCACTTTACATTTTGAAGGCGACTTCAAGGTAGTGATTAAGGTGCTGGAATAGAAATGGTGAGTTCCAGTTCTCCCTTTGGATGACTTTGGGCCAGTCAGTTTCTCTCAGCCCAACCCACCTCACAGGGTTGCTGTGAAGAAAATAGGAGAGAGCATTATGCAGGATGTGCTGAATTATTCAAAATAAAAGCAGGATGTAAATTTAATTTTAAAAAAGGTTAAATCTTAACTTTTAGGTTTTGTATGACCAATTTATATTGTTGCATTTGGTCATTGCTTTGGTGATTTTTCCCTTGCTAGTCATTGACTACAATTAAATAAATTTGATTTTGAAATTTGAAACCCATCAATAGATGAATTTACATCTCCCAACTTTATTTATTTATTAAACACACTTCTATGTTCAAGTCAATCCAAATGACTCTCAGTCGGCTCGTATAGAAAAAATAGAATACAAAAATACAAACGCAGCAGCTCTCCAACAATACAAAGAAGAGTAGGAAAAAAGAAACGGCAACCTCGAATCCAATCAGGGGAAGGGTCTCCGAAATCGCTCGGTCTTCGAGAGCTTTTGAAAGGCCAGCAAAGGGAGAGCCGGCCTGCTCTCCTCCGGGAGGCTGTTTCCGCCCTGAACCCTCCAAAGCTGTGAGATTTGCAGCAGCTTCTCCCCTGTAGATCTAATTGGCCGGGACAATTGGGGGGAGAAGGCCGTCTGGCAGGTATGAAGGGTTTTATAGGCCAAAACCAGCACCTGAAGTGGGACCCAGCCACCGACTGCTATTGTAATGCCCATTTCCCATTTTGAAGCTATATTTCTGGAACCCTTGGAAAAATTCTGTCCCCAGAACACCTACAGCAGACTTTCTCTCTTAGAGCTGACAAATCAGTTCTTATGAGTCAGCTGTAAGGCAGGAGTGAGAAATGTTGTATCTTGGTCATTACCTTATCTCTGCCTGAACGTTGAATATTCCTTCCGATGTTAGAAAAACTAGTTTTAGACAACTAAGCAAGAGAGGCAGATGCAGACTTTGCAACCAGATAAGTTCTGTATTTCCCACACAAACGTTCTGAGCCCAGCTTTGTTTTCATTGCAGGTCTTGGGCCCCACAGCTTCAGTGCAAGGGAGTATGTTAAAGAGGTAAGAAGGGTGTGGGGGAAATGGAATGGCCTATGGAGAGAAATTAGATCTGAAATGGTTTTCCTCCCATATTTCCAATGTTTAGTAACAGGCCCAGCTGACCCTTTTTTTCTTTGGAAAAAGACCTATTCAATAGCAGTGAAGATAATTTCAATGGTGGAGAAGAGAATGCTCCTAGGTGACCAACAGCCTCCACATTGCTTCCCAGCACTGCCTTACTTTCTTGGTGAAACTGCTCTTCTCCTAAGGAGAAAAAAGTCCAAAACAGAATGTCCTTCCTGCTCTCAAGAAAAACACCCCCTTCCGTTACAGGATGTGACTTTAGCTGGGGAGTATTATTGCTTCAATTGCTTGGAACTCACAAGCCATTTGTAATACATAAAGTAGCCTCTGCTGCTTGCAAGATGGAAGATAGACTGCAAATGCTCCTTCTTGGGCAGAATACCGAGAAAGTGGGGAAGAGCACTCCAACCTTACTTGCTCTGTGGCTTGCTTTCACCATGCTGCTAATATCTGCCTGGAACATCTGGCTCTTGGTTAAACATGAGCCCAAAATCCTGCTGTCAGGAGACATCGCCAATTTCATTTCTCCATTAGTTCTCAGCACTTCAAAATATTTACTTTATATCAGCCAGTCTATGGGCCCAAGGATCTTCCCTCACTGCAGGAGTCTTGTTTAATTTTAAGTATTAGCTGTTCCATTTTCAGACACATTTTTCCTGCTCTGCCTGGACAAAACTTGTCCAGGCAGAGCAGGAAAGATCAGGCTTTGCATCCATAGGCAAAGCCAGAGTCTGGGTCGGATCATGTTCTGACCTTTCCAGATAGCCTACTCTACAAACAGAGCAAGAAATACGTTAGGTTTTGGCTTAGTTTTAATTGTACTGAAAATACTAGGACTTAAGCACTTAATGAAGTAATTAACATCTGTTGATTCCTTTCTAATAATTACAGTTGATAAATGAATATTTCTCCCAGATGTTTCTGTGTACATCTTATTAGTTCAGTAGGGCTCTGGGCACAAGATTATATTCCATCAACCCAGTTCTAGTGTGGGCAGAGAACAAAGAGCTTAACTGATAAAACTATTTTTAATTATCTGTGTACCATATTAGCCGTATTAACAACAGAGAGGAAAGTTAAATACAGGAAGGACAAAGTAAGCACTCATATTTTTACCACCCACACTCAGGAAGAACATCAAGCTAGCAAACATCTCTGACAAAAGCAACCAGCACCAATTTCTAACCTTTTCTTATCAAGAGATGCCATCCAACTCCAAGGGAATTTCTGGTAGTCTTACATTCCGAAACCACTCCCTTTCCCACGGGTTTCAGTTCAACTTTAGTTAAATTGTTTTATAGCAGATTCCTGAATTTGTGGTACCAAGGTGATGAGAAAAGTTTAAAGTGTTAATGACATGAACAAATTTGTGGACTCATCTTAGTGGCTCTGTTTTCCTTGTTGAAATAATACACTTGACATGTTGGTGCTTCCTGATTATTAATTTCCTTAATGTTGTTCCTTAACGTTGAAGAGCTGACATGATAAATTAATGTCAAAACCAACTACTGCCTCATTTGGGGGTAGAGGCAGGCATCCCAGACAAAGAGCGTAGAGCTTCTTATATGCAAAGCTGGGTGAGTGGGTTTCTTTGACAGAGCGTGAAGAAAGGGTGGGCTTTCTTTGCACAACTCAGATCTTTGACCACGAGGCTGGAGGCCAACTTTGCTGTTGGACTACATGGCAGCCCTTAACGATGACTGACTTAAAAAGCTTTATTCAATACAACTTTCTGGTATAACTGAGTGCACAGTCTGGGTTCACATAAGATGCAAAGCTAAAGTGTGGTTGGCCGGTTTCTTGGGGATGCTGTGATTGCATCATACCCCAAATCTCCAGAAGATCTCTGAACTTCCTTCCAATTCTAAAATTTGGTAAATCTAGAACAGTGTTTCTCAACCTTGGGAACTTTAAGAGGTATGGACGTCAACTCCCAGAATTCTGGCTGGGGAATTCTAGGAGTTGAAGTCCACACATCTTAAAGTTCCCAAGGTTGAGAAACACTGACCTAGGATCTCTTCTCCTTCATTCTGTTCAATGATTCCTTCTCTCCTCTGGTTTCCCTTGTTTACCTGATGGAGGGGGCTCTCCTTCTCTTTTTGTTCACTTGCTCAGGCACCAGTTGGAAGCTTCTCCCAGAACATGCTGCTAAGACGCTTATGGGAATCCACCAGGAAGCAGCATAAGAAGCGTGGGAACCTCTCTGAATGCTTCTGGAAATACTGTGTGTGACTGACTGGGAACCCATTTGCTTCCAGGTGCCCCCCAGTCCCAACACCACATCCTTGCCCTATAATTTATGATGTGATCAAGCAATAGACTAGAATCCTGCATATAATCTCTGGAAATGCACACATGATGAAAATAAAGTAATTTTGAAGATGGCAAATAACTTCTATATTACTTGCATGGGATTTAATAAATCTTCTCTAGATTTGGTTATATTTTTGGAAATGGCGAGTTATTTTCCTTCTTTTTATCATGGATCCTATTCAAGCTTAGGGAACAAGAAAGGCATATTGCAAATTTATTTATTTATTTAAATTGATTATGTGGCTGCCCATCTCACAATTGCGACTCTAGGCGACTGACAAAAATTAAAAAATGTATTATAAAAATTATATTTCACACCCCAAAAGGAATTCCTACAGGAAATGCCTTTCAGAATTAGTTTTTTTTCACTGCAATTCCAGGGGAGGGGTATTCGTCCTTACTCTCAGCAGGCCTTACACTACTTTCAACCACACTGTGAACAAAACTGATTGTACTACGCCAATTATGGGAAGTCAGCGGAAAGCTAAATGCTTAAATCCTCTCAGTCCTGGGTGGGGCCTTGCTTTATGCCAAAGAACATGGTTTATTAAAGGCTCCCTCTTCCTTTAGGACACAAACATTATTGTCTCTCTCTTGACCTGAATCAATGCTGTAGTCAGCAGTGACACACAGCAAGTGCGCCGAGACCAACTGACCACCTTTGCCACTGGTTGACCACATCCCTTCTGGGCATCCCGTACAGAGACCCCCATCTCATCTTGATGGCTCTCATGCAATTTGACCACCTTTATGACAATCAGTAAACAAAGTGCAGCCCTCATAACTCAGCCAGAGAAACAGAGCTAAACGATGCAGAGTCTCAACCATCAGACTGAATGAGTCATTGTTTGTACCATATTACTGGTTAATGTAATTTCAAAAGGCAGCTCTTATTTTTATTGCCTCTATAAACTACCCCCCCAACACATCTCAGAATGTTGAATAAAGAAGCTATTGTGCAATATGTCAAAAATGCCACTTGGATGGGGATAAGAGCTCTGATAGGATGATCAGCTTGGAAGGTGGAGACATGCCAGCACCCTCCTTGATTGAGGGTGGCTCCAGAGAGTGGCTGACTGTGGTGCTGGGGGCCTGCAGTGGAGAAGACCATGCAGTTGGGCTGGAGCACCCAGTATTTGTCCACACTCTTCGTTCTACGGAGAGTAGGAGTTAGGCTGGTTTCCCACAGAAGAGGGAAAGGGGGCTGCTGAGGAAGGTGGTTTCTTAAAAAAAAATGGGGGAACTCTGGGAAAGAGAAGAAGAACTTTGATAGCTGGCAAATTAAGATGGACCTAGAGAGCACTGGCTGTGAAAGATTTGTTTTGGAAAGAACAATGATGGCTGGTGATGGACTGTTGAAGGATTATAAGTTTGAGGAAAGGTAGGTAAGAAGCAGAACAGGGCACAATCTGGAAAAAGGGCTGACGTCTGAGACAGAATCTACCTGGGGGCAGAAGGCTGTGGGGGATCAGAAGCTGAGATGGGAGGAACCAAGCCAAGCCAGCCTGGAAGAGGAATCCTAGCTGGCGTCTTAAGCTGTTTTTGGACCCTGAATAGGAGTAGCTAAAATCTTTAGAAATAGAGCAACAGACATACAGAGTACAGTCATACATCATTAGGGAACACTTAAACTGCAGAATGTCTAAAAGAGAAAATGTTCCCTTTAATAAATCACAGCCACTGTGGTTGTATTTCAACAGGAAGTATTTTCCTTTTTTCAGAAGTGAGAGCCCAGAAGCTGGGCGGACAGTGGAAGGGAGCTGACATTTTGAATCAGGGGCTTCACTGGAATACTATGGGAAAACAAGTACTTTACCCATCTGTTCTCATTCAAATTGTTACCCTTTAATTTTCTACCTATTCTATGCATCTGATGAAGTGACCTGCAGCTCACGAAAGCCTAGGCCTTTTCATAAAATAGGTTGGTCACAAAAGGTACCGCCCAGACTCCTGATCTTTTCCGTCTCGCTGCTCACGCAGATCAACTTACTTGCTTACACCAAGGAATGGAATAGTGCAGTGAAGAACAGAAACATGTACTGTGTCAAATCATTTGATGGAACCCAAACATGTGCGCAGGATAATGGAGTACCAGGGTGACAGATCCAAGGAACAGGCCAAAGGCTTCACAGCTTTTCTGCTTTCAGGAGTCAATTTAGCCTTAACCCCAAGAACTGAATTTAAAGCACAGCATATCAGCCAGACCTCCACACCCCCCACAAGCCAAGGAGGCTCTGCTCACCCTGGGGAGGAAAAGCAACACTGTCACAACTGTTCCAGATTCCAGGAAAACTTGGGAGCTGTGGTTTTCTAGCACACAGAGATTGGAGAAGAATTCATGGGACACCCAAACTGCAAGTGGCTAAGAAGCCAGTGTAGACATCCAAGAATGTCATTCCTTATGGCTAATTTACTTAGAGGGGTGTTATCCATTCCCTACATTCAAGCAAGATGCCCCTTTTTCTTGCTATTCTTTACAATAAATCTATACAAAACAGAATCATCTTTGTCTGCACACCAAGAGACACACATCCGAAAATCCAGGCCTTCTTTCCCAAAGGAGAATGCTACACGTTTTAGGTACTCACTGGGACAAGAGGCAGGATGATGATGAGACACCCAAGCATAGAACAGGTGTTGGACACTCTTCAAAGAGTAGGCAGAGGGAGAGATAAAAGAGAAGAGCCCAAAGGAAAACCCTCCTGTGCTATCTAGAGCAGGCAGATGGTCTTCTGAAATGCCCCCACCATCGCTCATCTTGTTCTGGAATAGATCCAATAGCAAAAACAAATAATGCCATTGCAAAATCTTCATGAGCAAGTAAAGCTCTTATTCTTAAACAATTCAGAATTGTTTTCCTTGACTAATTCCCAACCTGACATTGTGTAAACAGTATTCATCTTGGCTAGAGTACTGGCTAGAATCATAGGCCCATAATGCCACCTTCTCCAAAATGGGACACTGAAACATTATACTACATAGTTTGTCTAAAGAAAATACTGCTGTTAGGAATGATTTATGTGTTGCTAAGATAGAGGATTGATTATATTCCATTAAGTCAGTGTCAACTCCTAGCGACCACACAGATAGATCCAGGATGATCTGTCCCCAATGTGGCCCTTCATGTCTTCCAATGATGCACAGATTGCTACTATAACTGAATCCATCCACCTTGTTGCTGGTCATCCTCTCCTCCTCTTTCCTTCCACGTTTCCCAGCATTGTATATGAGAAGTTGGAAGGAAGTTGGGTCTTTGCGCACTGTGTTTAAAATTAGATAATTTGAGACTGGTCATTTGTGCTTTGAGTGAGAACTTGATTTGCTGTAAGATCCATTGGTTTGTTTTCCTAGCTATCCAATGGTATTCTCAAGAGTGTTCTCCAACACTGAAGTTCAGAACTATAAATATTCTCCTTCAAAGTCCAACTTTCACTTCCATGGAATGTCCCTGGAAAAACCATTGCTTACATGATTCTGACCTGTACATCATGACATCTGTCAATTCCAATCCGTTTCAATTTACCAGTGCTTAAAATGTCAACATGATTAATTTCATCTTCCACTGTCTCGAGCTTCCCCCTATTTATGCTTCTCACTTTCCATATTCCCACCGAGATTCTGCCTTTGCAGCTTCGGATCTTCTTTTCCTGAACGGCAATACTAGCAATTAGACATCGCAAAGGCTTTAATCAAGCCACATTATAAACACTATTAGTACTATGAAAGATCCTCAGCTTTTCCTCAGCAGTATGTTGAATGCCATCCAACCTGACAGGCCCATCATCTGGCACTATATTGTCAATCACTTTATATACTGTGTTACAGGACATCTATAAATGCAATCAGAGAGGCAAAACCACTTTCTCCTTTATGGAATATTGTTGCACGATAGTAACGTATTTTATTGGGCATATAGCTGGAACTTTCACATTTAAAATGTGATATCTACTTTGTTCAAGTAAATGATCTGACACATGTCACTGGTTGGGTGGGAAACAGGAATGAGTGATATGTAAATGGCAGAACAACCACACACACGCCCATTTCCTGCAGAATTATGAAAAACCTGTTCTTAGATTTCTGGGGAGGAAATGGTGGACTGACGATGGCTCTGCAAAAAAAGTAGACCAGCTCTTCGATAATCCCTCTCCGGATAAGGAGAGGACTTGAGATCGCCCCCAAGGGCTCCAGACAGTTGCTCCTTGCAAGGAGACTGCAAGACAGCTGTCTCCAGCAGGTTTAGAGCTCTGGAAACAGCCATCTTGCTCAAACTGCGGTCAGTGCCTTTGAAAGGACATTAAGTTCTCATACTTCCTTTTCTAATCACTTTTGGAAATTGCTCATTCCCTTTCAGCTATTAGGAACCTTTGGATTGACAAGTTTTACAGCACCAGGTGAATTTCCTTTAATCCTAGCGAAAGAAGTCTTAACTTAACTTAACTTGTAGTTAAAAATTTTTTTTGAATAAACAGCAAAATATTTATTTATTATTTATTTATTTTGTTTATTCAAAAATTTTTTTTGAATAAACAGCAAAAGAGCGATTAAAACTTTGATTTTAGAAGGTTACAAATGGACTAAGGGTCCAGATAAATTTGAAATAAGATTTTGGAATTAATTATAAG